AAACCACAAACACTATTTGGATAGACCAATAATTGAATGACCTTAAACCCCAACACTTCACTGGCCATAAAAACTCAGATCAGAATGACAAGAAGAGTGAAAGTGCTTATTGATGTATGTAGGCATATATTCATTGCGTAAAATATTCACAACGCAGCTGATCCAATCATTTTGCACACAGCTCTCTAACTTCCTGGACAAATCTTAGATTCTTGGCAATACCATGAAAGTTTTAACACATTACCTGCTATATTCTTGGAAGCTTCGCTTGATAACACCACTAAAACTGAGCAAAGCTCCTTCAAGTCGTTCATCTGGATGAGGTCTGCCAATAAGGACCTTCAAGAATGGTACATGTCTAGTTCAATAAGTAAGCAGGTTAGACTGCATTACTACAAATTCCAGGAGCCACTCAACTGATACCTGAATGAAAACTTTGAAGGTCCCGGTGCTGCAGGGCTGCCAGCATGAGCAACAGGGAGGGGAGATGACGTAGATGCGCCAGAAGACAACATATTATTAGCCTGATAAACACACAAAAAGAAGTTAGTGTCTAGATCATGAGCCCTGACTCACTAAAATGTAGCATTGAAATGCACAACTTTGTTACTAACAAAAAAAGATTTCTAGCTAAATTAAGAACAGAGAAGCCTAGCACCACTAAAAAGTTTATTATTATGATGAGAGCACAAAAACTTTATTTTCAATCTTATAGTAACAATGAACAAACTAACAGTTTTCCACAATAAAATGTTGGCACTTGGGAAAGAACTTTATTCTCAGAAATCAAATTTATATTTTTTGTACTTTTTGAAGTTACTACCTGATGAAATTGTGCTATGCTGTTGCAGGGGGTATCCTTCCCTGTAGGGCCAAAGCAAAGCTCTGGGCCTTTTCTTTTCTTTGAAGTGGAAAGGCAAGCATAACCAGAGGATCCAATAGCTCCAGTTATTGCAGCATTGGCTGCCTGCTGAATATAAGCCATGTTGTTGACATGGTCACCATGGAGAAGTGCTTGTCTCTCGTCACTTCCTTCAAAATTCTTACAGTCCATGCACTTGCAGTTTTCAGAGCAGAGAATATTGGCCTGAAAACACTCGCAATACTTCTTTAAGCAACTTGATTTCTTGCAATGGCATCCTTTGTAGTGCTTTCCCAGCATTACAACCTCTCCAATCTCATCCTACAGGTGCTCAAAATAGTTAATTTCGTTGTAAATAAAACATGGTCAATCTCTGCATCGTATAGCAGTGACGATAAAACATTATATTCACATATTCCAAGTGAAAAGTGATAAGAATAAAGATTTTTAGTTTTAATGACGAAAAACGACACGGACAAAAACTAAGCCCTTGCAATATATAAATGTAACATGTTTCCACTGAAACTATCGAAATATTGCAAAAGTGGAAATCACAACATCAACTTATCACCCACGAAGAACTTGGAACCTCTGACGATAGCTCTAAGTTCTACTAGACTAGGTAACCGACCATCTCCAGAACCAGAAATTTGCTTAATTCCTCAATTACATCAGGACAATAGAATAACATATGCTAGATATTAATGTGACGTCATTCAGATGGTATAATGTTATTTTCTAATTAATTACACAAAAGGGGAAAAAAGGTTCTCAACGGAATCGTAAAGTGCATAAAATTAACTAAATACATAATATTCCTCATTCAGTTAATAAATTTATTTACATACAAAACAACCATGATGAAAAGCGCCCATTACACTCAGACTTAGACCAACATACGTACCCTGCTTTCTCGTGGTCCATGCGGGCTGCTAGCTATCTTTGGTCGGAATGCATTTGGATTACGTTCTAAAGTAGTTTCAACTGCTTCTCTCCTAGAAACTTCATTCTCGACATTGTTATAGCAATTTGCACAATTGCAACCATCACAGTATATTCCAGATGCAAAGCACTCACAGTACCTGTTCATTAATTTAGTTTCAGGTATGGTGAACATTTGAAGGCTACCAGTTGCATATTCATACAAAAAATTCATTGTGGAGAAAGATACAAAAGATTCACAATATCAGGTTACTTTACTCATATTCTCCATTATGAGAGTTCCAAAGAGAAATCAAAATCCAGAAACTACTGATAAATATTACAGGATTACAAAGCCTGTTAGGCATATCTAACTACTGATCAGAACAACCATAATAAGGCATTGGATATATGACAGCACATAACTAGAAAGCATTAAGAAAAAAAGGTTAACTCATGGGGTAAGCAACTTTGTGAAAGCATATAGATCATGTTCATACAGCTTCAAGCAACGTGAGTGTTTACAGTTGCACTGTTTTTGTTTCTTTGGAGTAGCATCTTTTGTTTCTACAGACCTTGATCGTGACTTTGGAGAATCTGGCTTTCTGGTCACAAGAATAAATAAAAACTGAGTCACTCATTAATTAACAGAGTTATCCAAAGTTCTCATTCATACTTAGACGCACACATGAGTTAAAAACATGAGCAGGCACTGAATTCAAATTTACTAGTGATAAAATTCAAGAACACACTTAAATTGAAGTTCCATTAACAAGAGAGATTACAAGTCTTGATCCACATTAAATACAAGTGCTAGAATATATTTAAGCAGAAACAGAGTCAAATTCCATCCTAATCACAAAGGGGGTTGGGCAGAAAGATATAAAAAATAATAAAGACAAATACAGAGAGTGAAAATATTTCTTTAATGAGAGATACACATAGAAACTCCTAGAAAGAATTATACACATTGTGAAAAATCAATGATACACCAAAGCGATGAAGAAGAAAGAGCACAAGAAATTTTCCAACTGCACTGAAAGCAACACCAAACTAACCTCTTCCCCAAAAGAATGTTTCACTAATCTGATCAGTTCAAAACCAATTTCAGGCTTTCAGCGAGGAGAGAAAAGATTTTGTTTGTTGAAGTACTTTGTCATTGTCTACACTATCATAATGGGACAAAAACTACGAAGCGAAGAGGCCAAATATATTGTAACAACTGCCGAGATATAACTAAGCAACAACTAAAGAACCACTGACAAAAAGCTCATATTATACCCCCAATAAAAGAAAAAAATGAAACAACTTTAACCCCGGAGGGAAGGGGAGGGGGCGGGAACTTTGGAGTAAACGACATTTCAGGAATCCAGAATTTAAATTTAACAAGTTAGAAGTTAAAAAAGTGAAATTGGGACGACATAATTGGTCAAATATCACACTCAGAAGCTAATTTATTTATTAGTATAGATCACTTATAAAAATGGAAACAAATTTGCGAAATCCCACCCTCCCTTCCCCATCAGAAAGAAAAAGAGAAATATTTGATAAAGCTCAAAGAATACGTCAAAGCAAGCAAGAGATCTCAAGTAGACCTCACAGCCACAGGATGAGGCGATTGTGTTCCGACGGGCAAAACCATCAAATGTTGTGGGGACTTCGGCTGCGACGGACTCTGCACCACCATCACGGCTGGTGACTCTGATTGACAACGAGACTGAGACTGAAAATGAGGGAGCGCTGGTGAGACTGCACCACCAAACTCCGCAAAATCCAGCTGTCTAACTAGTTTCTTAGCAGTAACATCAAATGCAACCACGCTATCCGGTTCCTCACTACCAGTTTGAGCATTTTGCGGGGGTAAATCGTCCATCTCCGGATGCTCTACTTCCCACCATTACATTTAAATTCCAACTGCCAAACCAAACCACTACCAACAAATTTTCAAATCTTTTCAAAAAAACTTTCCCAATCCACAAATTCGGTACCATCAATTCAAAGTCCAGAAATCAACTCAATCTTACGAATTTCAAGCAAGAATCCCAGTCCAATACCGGCGGTACAGATCGTGCACAAAAACACGCAATTTCGAAACTGAAAAAACTTCGACTTTGAAGCTGGCCTCTAATACCTGAAAAATCACAAGGACTTCCGATAACTAGAAGACAGCCGAAGAGAAGGGAACTCGAAAGAGCCGTCTAGGGCTACACAATAATGATTTTGTATACAGTACACGAATGGACAGAAGAAGAAGATGAGCAAGAAGGCTTACGTTCTTCGTCTCTCTCCCTTGCGAGATTTTGAATTTCAACCTTTTCCAAATATTGAACGGTGAGATTGGTCCAGTGGGATCCATCAGACGGCGAATGTTTAACCAGCTAATCTAACGGTGCAAATTCATAGAGTGAAGAATGCTCCAGCCCTTGACCGTCAGATAACGAAAGTCAAGGTGTTTTCCCATGCAAGCGAGATTAACATGCTGCCCATGGATCTGCCACTAGTTGAACGACACGTATGCAGTTAAAATACCTTCGGAACACGTGTAGAGACTTGATTGAAGGATCTTGTGAAAAAGGGAGGGAAATCAAATAAGATTCCGTTACTAAAAACTATATTAAATAGAAAAAGAAAAGGAGAAATAAATTTGGCGCTAGCCGCTCAAGTAGTGGACTCGCATTTGGAATTCGGAGGTAAAAATGGGAGATCCTCTACTTTCGACTACATGTACAACAAATGAATGGACGGTCAGGATTAAATCTCATCACCAGGACAACTTCAAATCCTATACCATTACATAAATTAAACTGGTTCATTTTGAATTTCGTGGAAATCCGGAAATTAATAAATAAATATTTCACAAATCTCGTTACCAATATTTATATTCAGTTGATAATAATTTTTGTTGACTTTCTTGTTATTTCAACCTTATTATTACAGTATATAAGTAATTGACCTTGATAAAATAAAGTCGAGGCTCGTGTAGAAACGTATTAGTTAATAAACGTCAAGGTTCATGTAAGATCGTGTAATCTAACAAACACTGCGTGAAAAGCAAGCAACTGTCCTCAAAATTTGTAGATCTTCTCCGTCTGATCCGATCACTGAAAAAGAACCAAACAGAGGTGGCTCCCTCCAAGTAGCAAAATCCAAACTACAGCCTGACCAAAATGATTTATGTGAAGATAATAACGGTTCAAAACCATTGCCCAGAAACCAATAAACCAAAGATACACCGTATATATGCAAGGCATTTACTTCAATATGTTTGAAGGCTGTCAACAACTAACTACACCATACAATAATAAGAAGAAATACGAAATACGAAATACACGAGGCAGAAGATAGAGGACCCCAATAGCAGGTTTCGACACACAGGGCCTGTCAGGAAAAAATTAAGCAGGCTCTTCTTAACATCCTCTTTCCAAGGCTGTAAACACAGATTACGGGGTGCTGCTCAATTTTCAACGCTAAAATGGACCTCCATCGCGCTCTTGTCCAAGGCCGCGCCTATAAATGTGCTCCCTTTCGACAAACACATCTCTACGGAGGTCTTTTGGTGGAAGGCCGCGTGGAGACCGAAGCGAGACTCTCAATGGAGATCTAATTGGATCTCTAATAGGGGAGCGGCTCCTCTCTCTCACATCACGTGCCCAGCGGCCACGCTGAGGAAGCAACTTAAAAGTAATATGTTTTTTCTTTTTTGAAATCCATAAAAGCAATACATATGAAAAAAAATGCTTTCAAGAAAAGCAGCCTCAAAACTATTTTTCAAAAACATAAAAATAAAATACACACACAATCATCAACTCCTCCAAACAAAAAGTAATAATAATTCAACCAACCAAAAGACATATCAATAGAAAAGGATCCTGTTCCATGCAATGGTTGAATTTCTCGTTCATATGAGAAAAAGGTGTAATGGCATGGGTATCAACAAATGTTCGTCTGTATATAAAAGAAGCAAATCCATTGTCATATATATATATATATATATATATATATATATATCAAATTGTGGTGTTAGGTGAGTACTTACAAAGGATCTGAGCAATACCAATCCCCATCCCTAGGACGCACATTTGGATTATTACTACGTTCCCCTCTAAATGGCTCAGGAGCAAAACCTCTCCCATATGGCCTGCCACCACTTATTCTTCGACTGTAATGGGGTGAAGTCTCTCGATATCTACCATGATCGCTCCTGCCTCCAAATTCACGGCCCCGCATGAGATCACCAGAACGATCAAAATCAGAAACATACCGGTGATCATCCCGATGACGTGTTGGAGAAGCTGAACCTGCATGTATTCTATATCCTGAAAGAAAGATGGTAGTGGATTTATAAGATATTAAGAAAAGTAACATATTGTATAGGAAGATTATTTGATGTACAACATCCATATATCTCCAAAGATTTTCCCTGATACAACTGCAAAAGGACCATCCAAACAAATTGACAACCATTGCCATTCATTGTTGGCATCTCCTCTCTGTGGACAGAGCAATAGAAGGTGCAAAGATGCAGACAAGAGAGAAAGTTCTGATGATAACTGCCTGTATACGTTCAATACGTTACCACCCATATCATCAGAAACTTGAACAGAAGCAAATAAGATAACAAAACCATAGCAACTTGCAATGTACACGTCCTTCTTTCCACATGTCCAGTGTTAGTACATGTAAAACCCACATTTTGAATTATCATAGCCTACAGGTAATCTATTTCCAATTTTTCACAAACCCAGCAATGAGACCAAAAGCACAAGTCTTGAAGAAAAAAAAAATCAGTGTGGTGATGTCCTGGCAATGAGGAAGGACATCCACCGATAGCCCAATCTTAAATGAACAACACGTACAGAAATAATCACACAGCATAATCAACCCATGCTTAAATACAGAATTCTTCAGTTGAATTGCACCTGGGAGGCTCAGTAAGACCACAGTGAAAAGCTCACAGGAAAAAAACCGTCATTAAAAAATCCACACAAATTGAAGCATCCAAAAACCAGATTAAACAATGGCACCCATCCTACTCTTCGGTTAATTCAGAAATCAAACTCCAAATCTTACTTGCATGGTCACAATAGTTCGTTCCTCCACGGCTTTCAGAAATAGACCAATGGATTTCCATGCATGCTGCTAGAATAATTTTCTGCAGAATCTAGCGGGCTTAACCATATCCTCTTGAAATGACCAATGATACCTTCAGTCATTGACCACAAAAAAAGTATGTAAGAGTTCATACGATGAAAGGAATCCAGTTAATCCAACTATTAACCACCGGGTGCCATTGATATGCCCATTCACACTACCATATATTTAGTTGAAACAAATCCCTAATTTGCAGGATGACGTAGGAAATGAAATGTGAAGATCCCAAACTTCACCTGCAAATCAACCCTTTATGAACCTGACAAATAGATCAAGAAGTTGCTACACATAATTCAGATGGCCCTTACACCAATACAGCTCAATCAATGTCTCTCCACGAGAATAATTTCATCCCTCGGATGGAAATCTAGGCAGTGAAAAAAATCCACCATATGACATAAATTGGCATCTCCACTTCATATGAGTCAAATACCAGAGTAAAGCTGGTAGCCCTCAACCGTTGGTCAATGCACCTGTAAGTTCATTTAGAGCTCATACCAATAGTCTCAACCAGGCAGACCATAACACTTCTCTAGCTTGTTATTTGATCACCTCCAAATTTCTTAAGAGAACCCTCGCTCACCATGATTCAATTATGATTGGTATTTGAACACATCTTACTCCAACCATGCCCAACACCATGCTATCCCAAAATGACGACGGATGATATGATAGCCCCCCACTCAGCAACCCAGAATTTCTTGCACAAATTTTACCCCCAAAATTAAATGGTCTTAACATGGAAAAAAGAGCAATTCCCGAGATCATGATCTGAGACTGCACTTACTCAATGCCCATCTCAAGATCTAAGTTCTTGCAGTCGGCAACACAAAGCTGTAAGAGAATAGAAAGTTTTATTCCCAGAACAAAATTTTGACAAGGGGAAGTAGATCCACATTCTCGACATACAAAAGAAAATGAGGATAAAAGAAAAGAAATAAAGAGGTTATGAACTCCATTTCGTCCAGAATATCACAACATTTTCTATAAGATCAAAATGACAACCAAGAATGGCTGTGCTTACCCTAAGCTATCAATGCATCCTGACTTAGAACTTGATAGATCAAAAAGAAAATGTCAAATTACATGCACAAATTGATACTTTTAATAAATTGAACTAAGTTTACACAAAGTAGGTAGTATAAGATTACAAAGCAGATTGCTAGAATTTAAGAAAAATACTTGAATCTCATTCAAATATCAAAAAAGCCAACAAATCCTCTCCAACAAGATTGAACAAAAATGAAGTAAAAAAAGAAGTGACGTATCTACTATCTAGCATCCCGCAAAAAAAAAAAAGAAAAAAAAAAAGAAAAAAAAAAAGTGACATATTTTGCATCCCAATGAATTGGCATTTGACAGTGTCTTTCACAGCAAGGTAGGCATAATACATGATAATTGACTCACCAAATGTGATCAGAAATTGGTTTGAATCAAGAGTGAAACCCATTAATTCCAATAATTGACCATTTTGAGCAAAACTCTTAGACAAAATTAGGTTGATTGAATCTCTCCTTATCGGATTGTAGGTCTGCTTCACATGGATCTCCCGCCTCGTTTGAGTGCTGCTTTTTTCTGATCTTCATCCGGCTAAATTTCTCATTGTAATTTCTGTCATTATCTTGGACTTGATAGTGAAGGTTTCGTAATGGGCTTTTTCTTCTTCTTCTTCTTTTCTTTTTCGGTATGCCGCTCCGCGATCAAGGAGCGAAAGAACCAACAAGTGGGCTGTGGTGATGTCAGAATTTGCACCTATTTGTATCTATTTAGTGATCAGTCTGCTAGTTTCTTTGATCCCACTCGGTCTTCCTTTTCCATTTGCTTCCAATAGTTCAACCTATCCAGAAAAATTGTCGGCCTATGAATGTGGTTTCGATCCTTCCGGTGATGCCAGAAGTCGTTTCGATATACGATTTTATCTTATTTCCATTTTATTTATTATCCTTGATCCGGAAGTCACCTTTTCTTTTCCTTGGGCAGTACCTCTCAATCTAGACGGAAAGACTTTAAAAACTCATCCTCTCTTGTGAATGGTAGATAGATATTCGTCTATCAATGAATACGGATCAAGGGTGCCCCACAAGTTTCCTGCAGAAACTTTCAAGTGATATAAGGCAGCAAGAAGGACCAGGGAGTATAATAAAGACGAGAGTCATACTGCAATGATCTTGGCAAAATTCTTCAATGGAGTCCAACTAAAACATGAGCATATGACCATCCAGGACAAAAGACCAATAAGCGTATAAAGTACAAGGAACCTGCGGAGTTCTATTATTAAGATATCTTCAATAATATGTCCTGGGAAAGAGAGTGAGGATGGTTTTCTTCATTTGTTTTAGAAGCATGTCTAAGCATTTCATCAATCATGAAACGAGAGCATACTTTGGCTAACTAGTTTAATACTCTCTAATTTAAGCAAAACTCACAAATTGGAATTTAGCTACGACAAAGAACCTGAAGGATGGGAAATTGTAAACATGTCGTGGCATGAATTTACAAAATATATACCCATATATGTATCTCAATATCATCTTGTAAGAAATCATATTGGTAAATCAAATAAATTCAATCTATGGTAACAAAATGCAGAGGCCATCCTTTCAAAAAAGCAAGGGAGATTTTATGGCTATAAATCAAGGATCGTCTGTTGATGAACTTCGGCCAGAAAAGAACACAAGGACCTTTAATCGCGAAGGTGAGGATTTGGACAGTTTTGTTGAATCAGTTTCAGAAACTGATTACATTATCTTGACGTAAAAATTGCTCTTCTTTTGACAATTATGGTTTAAGTCGTATTTCGACCTCATGGATGAACTTTCTGTAATCTCCATCGACTCGGGCTGGCTTTCCTCCCTATATTCGTAATTCTCATTCTTTCATTGAAAATATGTTTCCTACCAAAATATACATATAAATTCAACCTAAGGTCGCAAGCGATGAAATTCAACGCAGGGATAAACTTACAGAACACACACACGCACAAAAAAAAAAAAAAAAAAAAAAAAAAAAAAAAAAAAAAAAAAAAAAAAAAAAAAAAAAAAAAAAAAAAAAAAAAAAAAAAAAAAAAAAAAAAAAAAAAAAAAAAAAAAAAAAAAAAAAAAAAAAAAAAAAAAAAAAAAAAAAAAAAAAAAAAAAAAAAAAAAGCAATGCGCCTATTCACATCCAAACTATAGCTCGAAAAGTGTTCGAAAACGAAGGTGTGCAGAAGTAACGAACCCAAATCAGCTGAATATCGATCCAATCGAGAATATTGTGGAGGGTCACGAGGAACCTCACCGGCCTCGTAATCGCTTCCACGACCAACTCGGCCGCCACTGGTTGCACCGACTCCGCCACCACCTCCGTCACTATTCGATGGCCGTACTACCAGGCTGCTCAATAACGGCTGGTGGTTAGTCGTAGAGTCTTTATCCCTCGAACCCATCCTCTCGCCTTGTTTTCCTGATTCTTCTGCCTGCTTCAAAGAGCAGCCACGAAACCGGTCCGTCTGAAGTCTGAACGCCGATAAATCGTTGAAAAAGGCGGGGAGTACATTTGTAAACCCTAAATTCTAGTTACGAGGAATTCAGCACGTGAAATTCCGTAAAACGTGTCACAATTACTAAAAGGGTAGTTGATTCAATCACAGTAATTATATCTATTATTTAAACCTCGTGAAGTAACGCGCCTTATTTGGAACTACATTTTAAACTCAAACCTTTTTAAGGCCAAAAATGTATTTTGCCCCTTTTAACTTATTATAAGATAACAATTTTAAATTTATATGATTTTAATTGTATATAATTCTATTAATTTAGCCCGTAATAGGTCTATAAATCCCAAAATTGGAAGGTTATGACCTGTGATCTTGGATACACGTGTCAGCCTCTCCCTACAACACATCTCCGAGATCTTATGACGGCACCAGAAAATGATAAAAAACGACAGCGTTAGATGTCGACGAACCGTACCATAAATTAACGTAGCCCAATTCGGATCGCCGCATTTGTTGTGCTGACACCTGGTGCTTCCACCACCGCTGATTTCGCCTCCCATAATACAATGAATTTTCACCGCTTCCATTAACCAAATTAATAATTGTAATTGAATGCTATATATAAAAAAGAAAAAAAAAATTTAAATTATTTAATTTTTGAAAATGCTGAATAAATAAAAATGCTTATAACTTTATAATTTGGGTATTTTTTAAAAATTTAAGAGTATTATTAATATTTTTTTAAAAAATTAAAAATATTTTTAATTTTATTAATTTAGGAACGTACTATTATATAAGAAAGCAAAATAAAAGGAATTTAAGAAATATTGTACAAGGCGCGGCATCATTCAATAATTTGTCGAGTAGCTGGAGGGAGAACTCTGTAAAACTGCGACAAAAAGTTGCTCTGTTTTTGTTGGCGTGATGATCAATCGTCGTCTTTCAGTGTAAAATTCAAGCCTCCACCAACAGTGTTCATATATTTTTCTGCAATCGGCGCCTTCTCTTTCTATTTGCGTGTTCGTTCGTTTTCGTGTTGCGAAAATTACAGCCGCTTCTACAAGGTTCTCGAACAGCTAAAAAGAAGTTCGCGCGTTTCTGCCTTTAGATCTGTTTTCTGATCCCTTCATCCATTTGAGTGCATTTCAAGCGCTTTCAAGTTCATGATGTTTTGATTTCGACGATTTTTTTGGTGAGATTATAATCGGCTTCCTCCACTTCTCTTTTATTTGGTAACTTTTCTTCTTCTTCTTCTTCTTTGTTTGTTTGATATAATTTCTTTCCTTCTGATGTGAGATTGCGTGTTCAGTTTTATGGTTCGGGAGAGATGTGCGTATTGCTGCAAATTAATAGTTTATAGCTTGATGATGACTAGATTTGGCTTTAGATCAACAAAATTTAGTAGTCGATTATTTATGAGAACTTGGAGTTGATTGCCTAATGAAAGCATGTTTCTTGAAATGTGAAATCAACTTGATAATCCTTGATGCTAATGTAATGGAATTTCAAGCTTATATTAACTGAAGCACCTCAGCATTAATGCATGTTTCTGTAAAATGTGAAATCAACTTGGTAAACCCTGATGCCGATGTGATGGAATCTTAAGCTCGTGTTAATTGAAGCGCTTCAGCATTAACTCGATACTGGAAGATGCTGGGTTAAGAATGGCGTTTAAATATTTGGATTATGATATGAAGCAAAATATCATCTTAACACTATCCATGTTAGGGAACTTCTGGTGAGGATTTCCGGCGGTTTGGTACGTGGGATTGAAAACGCGAAGATTTCTCTCAATGTACAAGCGATTTTCATTTAAATATAACTCCAGTCTAATTGACATGGAGGATAATTCAGGTAATCCATTATTTGGCAGTCTGTAGCTGCGAAACCCATGAATTTTGTTTGTGCTTTCTGTTTACGGGGTGTAATAGACATGAGAATCAATGAACCTTTTAAACGATGGCAAAGACATGATAGTTGACGTTATTCGGGTTTATTCTTTCAGGTCTTTTGCAGGGTGGTAAGGATTTTGAAGTCTCGAACCCTTCATGGAGGCTTTCTTTACCGCACGTTCTAGTAGCTACCCTAACTTCATTTCTATTTGGCTACCACCTGGGGTTAGTTCTTATGCTGATTTAGCTCCATCTCTTTCTCTCAGTGTCTATGTTTGGCGAAGCTGTTCATACTTGTTCGTTCGCAAGTAAACACTGATTGTATCTTACTATCTGTTTTCTGCAGAGTAGTAAATGAGCCAATGGAAGTAATTTCTGCGGATCTTGGTTTCAATGGGAATACATTGGCAGAAGGTGTTATGCTGCAAATATCTTGTTTGTGTTTTATTCGAGTTCTTTAATTGAGTTCATTCAATGCTCTAAAGTGCCTTACCCTTAAATGTCTGATGAAGGTTTGGTTGTCAGTACATGCCTGGGAGGTGCCTTAGTTGGGTCTCTATTGAGTGGTTGGGTAGCTGATGGAGTAGGACGTCGCATGGCTTTCCAACTGAGTGCTTTGCCAATGATTGCTGGTGCTGCAATGAGGTGACATTTTCTCCCATTAAAGGCAATTATAGCCAAGTTCTACTATGAAGTTTGCCACATCTTCATGTTTTTACTTGGCAATCCTGACATTGTTCCTGTGTATTATACAACCTGGTATGCTTATGTGGGACACTGGAGCTGTAGGTTTCTGATGTTGTCTTATAGTTGAATTTGACATGTACCTCTATTACGACAATCACTGCCATGGTTCTGTTATGAGTTATGATGCGAATTCTATAGGTCATTTCTCTGCTGCTACTGATGATACCGAGTATTTGATATTCCTGGCATTTGTCAGCTGGTGTTTTCTGTGCATAGGTTTTTAAACTCCCGCAATTTTAACTTTCTACAGTTCAGTATAGAACATTCATGAATGCACTTTTTTAATTCTTTGGTGACACTATGGCTAGGTGTTGAGAAAAGTAATACTAGTTGAGACATGCAGGTGTAGGAGGGTGGTTGAATGTATACGGTGGGGCAAAGTTCGGCCCTGGTTATAAGTATGGCGTTCTTCTGTTTGTCTAACAAAAACGAACTGAGAAAGGGGGCCTTGGCTGACTTAACTATATTAATTGACTGGTGGCCTAAGTGGTAATTCAAAAGTTTCAATAGATGAACCCATTTGTCACATCACTGCATGGCAGCTAGAGCATTCCGTTTTCATTTGTTTTCAGCCTTTCATTAATGTGGAACTAGAGAAGCTTGATTGTCCTCCTTTTAGAGTCTAACCTTCTATGTCTAGGACTAATTGATGCTAAAGTGGTAGATGACTTGGATGCACTTTCATCACGTTCTCATATAAAGATCTTGTTTTGGTAATTTTGTCCCTCAACACTTTTAGGAGAAAAGTCTCTTTCAACCAAACGGAAATTATCATTCAGGACCGAAGAACCTGCTTCTCTAAGCTGTAATACATTTTCTTCCTTCCTAGTCAGCTAGTCCAAGAGAAACCACCAAACTCCAATTTCCCAATTTTGTTTCTGCATAATGATTCTTAATCCAATTTCGTAGTAATACAAGTTTATTGAAGATCATCATGCCCCTGTTGATTTTTTGTACTGAATTGTCTAGTTTCTTATCAACCATTTGACTACATGTTGTTTCCTCGTTCTTCATTTTATTGCACTCTCACGAGAAAAGTTAAGACTTGAATTTCAGTGCAATGACTAAAACTCTGGCTGGGATGCTTTTGGGACGACTGTTTGTTGGGATTGGAATGGGTCTAGGCCCTCCTGTTGCTTCTCTATATGTCACAGAGGTACAGTAATGGTTACATTACTGCTTTATATGCGTTAGCGTGCATCTTAAAAGGATTCAATTAGAGATGATGGCTTGCTACCTCACTTTTTTTTTATACATCATGAGTAGGTATCTCCTGCCTTTGTGAGGGGAACGTATGGCAGTTTCATTCAGATTGCTACATGTCTTGGACTGATGGCAGCCCTCTTAATAGGAATCCCTGCTAAGGAGACAGTAGGCTGGTATGGAATATATAGAATATTCTAGAACACCTGAAAATACATAACCTTCCATTTATTTATCATTTCAAAATATGCTCTTCTTTTCTGGTTCAGGTGGCGTGTCTGTTTTGGGGTATCTACTATTCCAGCTGCATTACTAGCTCTAGCCATGGTATTTTGTGCTGAGAGTCCACATTGGCTATATAAGGTTTGTTCTGGAGCGTACTTTCAGATGTATTGAAATATATGTTTGTTGCATGAACATAAAAAAGGCTGCCTGTTTTACACGTCTTTATAGTTCCTTAATCCTCCCAGTGAAAACTTTGTTTTCTTTTTAAAATTGAACAGCGTAATAATTCCTCAGTCGAAGCATATGCATGTTCTCCAGTGCTCTGTCTCACCCCACCATTCTCCTCACTAAAATGCACCTTCGGTGTTTCTGGGTTGGGGTGGTGGGGGGTGGTGAAGCGAAATTGAAATGCTTGCAATGGTTAGGGTGCAGTTCTGTATCAAGGGATAAGTTCCTGTTTCATAAGAGTTCTTGAATGAGAAAATCTTATAATTCTAATCTTATGTAATGTAGCAAGGACGGACTGAGGAAGCAGAAACTGAATTTGAGAAGCTTCTTGGTGGATCACATGTAAAATCTGCTTTGGCAGAATTGTCCAAGTTTGACAGGGGAGATGAACCAGATTCTGTAAAACTTTCTGAATTGCTCTTTGGCCGCCATTTTCAAGGTTAATATATACGTATATATACTGACTCAGTCCTATTTTTTGTTTACTCACTGTTTTCCTTTTTCTAATGCCACTATCCATGCACTTTACCGCATCAATTATCTCTTTCATTTGGGTGGAGTAGTTCTTCGTTATTCACGCAATTCTTTTGCAGTTGTTTTTATTGGATCAACACTATTTGCTTTACAACAGCTATCTGGTATAAATGCTATATTTTATTTCTCCTCGACTGTTTTTAAAAGCTCGGGAGTACCATCAAACCTTGCAAATGTCTGCGTGGGAATTTCAAATTTAGCAGGTTTGCTCCATGATTTGGTGGTTGGTGTAAATATAAGCTCCATACTCTGAATTCATTACTAGGCATTATTTATTTATTTTTAAATTCTCCATTTGTACTTCACAGGATCCATAATCGCGATGCTTTTGATGGATCGATTGGGAAGAAAGCTGCTTCTTCTATGGAGCTTTTCTGGGATGGTAACCAAATTAAGCAAATCTTTTCTTGTTGCTACGACATAGATCTTGAATGTTCTTACCAAGTCTTGTTTATTATTCGGAACGAGGGAGGAACATATCTAGCTTGTTTGATCAAGGTTGCTGTTGGTAACTAGGATCTAGAACTGTTACTGATAGTAGGCCAGGATTTATAACCACCTTATTTGATATGGTTTTGATAGGAAGCAAATATAGGCATTAAACAATGAATATTAGTAGACTAAAATACCATCCACCAAGTATAACAATTGAATTTCTTTCATGATTGAAGGATGCTGTTATCTTAAGAAAGACTTCGCTTGTCATCTTGTGTCTAATGCAGGCAGTAGCTATGGCCCTCCAAGTAGTCGCAGCAGGTTCTCATTCACCAGACTCTGGAGCTGTATACTTGTCAGTCGGTGGCACGTTAATGTAAGTAAAAGCATGCTCTTTGATCTGACTAGAGATTTGTGGCAAGTTTGTTGGCAATTGTCACTCTCTGATGATCACAACAGGTTGTTGTTTTGCTAGACTTTCTAATCATTGATCATATCATTCTTGCGGGTCATAAAATACTGAAAATAAAGTATATTAGCATACTTTTATTCACTAAATGTAAAGATCGATGGCTTCTTTTATCTTTTATTGTTTTGCCAACTCTTTCTGGATTTAATGCCTGATTTTTCAATCACTGTGACGATGAAGGCAAATAAAACTGGACTTCCGAATTACAATAACAATCATTCATGTTTTTACTCTATTGAGCATTCACCACTGACAAGACTTGAGAGGTTATTCCTGATAAAAATGTTGGAAATGTGTAAAAGAGAGTGCATATTATTGAACGAGTAATAGTGCCCATTAACGTAAATTTGCAGGTTTGTCCTAATGTTTGCTCTCGGAGCTGGTCCAGTTCCAGGTCTTCTTTTACCAGAAATTTTCCCCAGTCGGATAAGAGCAAAAGCTATGGCAATCTGCATGTCGGTGCATTGGGTAAGAATGTTGAGCTTATTACTGCCTTTTGCCATGGATATTTCGGTTTAGGGGCTCAGTTTTTCTGGCTCAAAGTGCTTGGATAAGTAGTGGCTCAATAGGCTGGGTATCCTGTGGGATTTTTATTTTTCGAGACTGACTCAGATTATTATCAAGATCGTGGTTCCATCCAGTAATAATTCCCTGCACGATTTACCTCATCCGTACATGAGAATGTAATACGACCTTGGAACTCAATTTGGAGTACAGTGTCATGCTCACCCTGGGGTTCATTGATGCTTTTCAGGTGATAAATTTTTTCGTAGGATTGCTCTTCCTTCACTTGTTGGAGAAGATGAGGCCACAGTTTCTGTACTCTGGTTTTGCTACGTTCTGCTTGATTGCAGTTGCATTTGTGAAAAGGAATGTCGTGGAAACCAAAGGAAAATCACTTCAAGAAATTGAAATAGCACTTCTCCCTCAAGAATAATGCATCAGCCCAGGTTTATGCGGCTCTTAGCTTCCTCAAATTCCATGAAGATTATTGCAAAGAATATACTACGTGGGTTCCCTGTTTCCAAATGTATCTATTTAACTGAAGCCATCGCCTAGAATCATTCACATAGTTTTGCATCTATAATAAACATGCTACCTGTGGGTGTAATGCAGTATTGCAGTGCAGTATTGCAGTGCAGTATTGCCCTTCAGAAGTGAGTGTATAAATAGAGAGCACAAAACTATGGCAATACAGAGAATTGCCAAACTTGATTTTGTCTCACTTTCTCATTAACCTGTCGGTATGGTTTCCTTATGAATTCTTATCTTGAAGTTTTTGAATAACTTGGCAAGGTGATTGACATTTTTAGTTTTCTGTACTCTTCTTTTAAAACAACAGCAGGAGTTTGCGGCTTCCATTGGCAACAACCAAAACACCATTTCAAATACAACATTTGCAGTAAACACAACAAAGAAGAACACAACTATCTTCACTTCTTTGGTCAGTCAGCTTGCACATTGAGCAGACGCCTATTTCTCGGCACAAAATAATGTAAAACCAGTAATCTTAAGATCTAGCTATAGGATTGGCACAAAACATAGATTCTACAGCACTCAGTCCTGATAGCTAGCATGGTTTAAACAGCACATCCACCACACGCAATGCACCTTCTGCATATAAGCAACACATATGTTTTCATGTGACAAATGACCATAGACCATCTCCAAGTAATCTTTTCTTACAAAATCGTACAGGAAAAAGTACAAGTAGAGGAAATAATACATGTACTTACACAATTGAGCAACCAGACCTTCGGCTTCTTCTCTTCCTAGTCGTCTCAATTCTCCTTGGAGGTTGAAGAACAACCTTGATTGCAGTGTCAAAAACAGCTTTGACATTCTAAACAAAATTACAATTCAGTACTGAGGTACTATGCATTATTAATGCATATATTGATGACTTCTTGGCCTCTTGTGAAAATGTAGGCCCTTTCTATGTTGTAATGAGGGGATGAACATGATGAATAATCACCACTGATCATGAAAGAAATCTTACCTGTTGAGTCTTAGAGCTACATTCAATATATGCAGCAGCACCAATTTGTTTCCTAAGCTCTTCTCCCTGCATAGAACAACTAAATCAGTTTCTTCTGAGCAATGTGATCCAACTCAGATGAACAAAAAATTAAAAAAAAGAATGAGTACCTGAGAATATGTTATTGTGTTTGATCTCATTTGATCAGCAAAATAAGCTCCATTGTCACGAAGATCTAAGGAAAATAAAAATTATCTCAAGAGCAGATGACAAAGAAACTCTCACTGTCAAAACCAGTTTGAAGTCGTTTACTCACCCAACTTTGTTCCAACAAGAACAATAGGGACACTAGGCGCAAACCGTCTAAGTTCCGGCATCCACTAAAGAACATAAGCAAGACTTCAGTTCATCCATGAAATATTGCAGTCAGAACATTGAAACGGAAGGGTTACTTTTACACCATTACCTTCTTAAGAACATTCTCATAACTCGCCTTACTGATTAACGAGAATGCCAGAACAAAAACATCAGCGCCCCTATAACTCAGTGGCCTAAGTCTGCTGTAATCTTCTTGACCTTCAAAACAGAGCCACTTTCACTTAAAACCAGTAGAATAAATCCATATTCAAAGCTTAGAGAAAGATAATCCATTGGTAGGAAAAGGAAAACCCATTTAGTTTACCAGCAGTGTCCCATAATCCCAAGTTGACAATATTCCCATCCACAGCCACATTAGCACTGAAGTTGTCGAAAACTGTGGGAATATAATCCTGTCAAAACAAAACAAATGCAAATTTATGGCGTAAATGGAAGAGATGGAATTCAAAAGGAGGGATTTTGGAAGATGGGTATGAACAAACTCACAGTGGGAAACTTGTTACTGGTGTAACAGATGAGCATACAAGTCTTCCCAACAGCTCCATCTCCGACAGTGACACACTTAACAAACCTTGAAACACTCATTTTTTGGGTAACAGAGGGATATACCAAACCCCCAAAAGCTCAAAATAGGGTTTGAAAAAAGTCAAAAAAACAAAGAGGAAGAAGAGAAACCAGAAAGTGGGTATCTTGGTGAGTAAGTCACAGAAGCCATTCTCCAAGTTTCAAGGGCCAACTGCTTTTAAAAACTCGAAGAGAGAGAGAGAGAGAGAGATGAAGCAGAGGAGCTTATGGTCAAAAGAATGACCTTGCTTTTTTGACCCTAGCAGGGATATATTCAAATCCAAACGGATTAATTATTTTTGAAATGCAAGTGAATGGGACCTGCAACTCGAATGGCTGGCTTCCAACGTAACAGCTGCACAATATTTAATTCCCCATCAAAAAAGTGGGTGAAATGAACACTGTGAATCTCAATTATTTGTATGGTTTATTTCATTCTATAATGCTCTGAACAAATTAAGGAGCCCTGAAATCTGGAACTGAAAACTGAAAATAATCGTCCTGTTTGGCTTCAATTTCAAATTTTTTTATGACCACAGGGAGATAGTGCTCTTTCAGTGTATGCACTAATTAGTTTATAAAGTGTACTAAAAAAACCACCTTTATTTTATTTTTAATTTCAAAAGTGATTTCAATGGGAAAGGTGATCAAAATGTATTTTTATTTTTCCAATAATACTCCCAAATTTATTAATAATCCTCTATTTGATAAAAAATAATATTTATACGTTGCTCTTCTTTTTAGATAATAATGATGATGTGACAAACAGGACAATTTGACTTTTCAAACGATGTTACAAAATTTCCAAGAATGTTTTTTCTTATTTATGTACGTAAAGTTCATAAATTAAAGGCTTTTAAGTGCAAAATTAAGTTCTATAAGATTTGATACACATGCCAAGGTCCAATATCTTATGCAAAGCCCTAGAGAGAGAGAGAGAGAGACTGTGAACTGCGCCTGAATCAAAAAGCTGCCCTGCATGTCTGATTAACTAAAAATGTTGGAACTTTATCACCACAATTTCCTGGAAACAGGGCGACATCAGCCTGACACTAAGCCAAGTTCAACACACACTTTGGTTGATTAACCAGAAGTTCAGAGAAATGGAACAAGCAACAGCACGATCTTGCATTATTCATATGAAGGTAGCCTTAAACATCTAACAACATCAAAAGACAACAATTGGATAGAAGGTCGCCCACTGTCACGATGATCAATGAGCGGCCTGGTATGCAAGAAGTATGCATACAATTGAAAGATGGATGCAATCAAAGAGCCTTGAGGATGTCCTCAGCACTGGAGACGGTAAATTCTCCACCAGCCTCAATATTTGCAACTACAACCTTGAGGTTATCAACTAAGAGAGCGAACCGCTTGGACCGGATGCCGAGCCCTTTTTCTGAAAGATCGAGTTCGAGGCCGAGAGCATGTGTATATGCTGCAGAGCCATCAGCAAGGAACTTGACATCCTTGTTCTCAGGGTAAGTCTTGGACCAGGCCTTCATCACGAAGGGGTCATTGACTGCATCCAACAGGAACAACTACAATTATCTACCATTTGAAATAAAAATTGGAAATTTGGAGTTTATTTGCAAAATGATTCTAAAAATATTTGACTAAAGGAACTTATTGAGCAAGATGCTTTCAGAAACCAAAGAAACGTAATAAATTTATATTAGGGTGCTCTAATCAACCTTTTAAACTATAATAATCTTACATGCAATGACTAATTAGATTATTAGTTCGTTGGTTCTGGCTTAACCTTTCACGAAAGGCCATGTTTAGCATTTGCATATAAATACCAAGTCAATCTGGAGAAAACTGGTCAATTTCAAACTTTTATTAGGATAAGAAACTAGCCAATTTCATAAAACTAGGAAAGAGACGTCGTATTCACTGGAGAACAATACAAATTGAGTGTGAGTTCAATCCCTAAGAGACCTACGCATTATTTCGCCAATAGACGAATAAAGAGGGAAAACATACAATTCTAACTCTCGGGTAGTCATTTGGAGAGAAAGAGCAAGCAGATCTACAAGGACAAACACAATATCTCATTCTTTGCTTTTCATCATTTCTTGGGCCTATCTTTAGATCTTAATCTAAGACTCTCCGACAGTGTAAGGTTGTAAACAAGACTCGGAAGTTTCGTGCACATATTCTTCATTTTAAGTATTCTTGTTCCGTATGAAAAATAACAAGGGCAGGTAGCAAAATTCTAGAACTCATTTCTCTCCACAATCGCATGAGGCCTTTTGAGGAAACAAGAAACAAACCCAGGAGAGCTTATGCTCAAATTAGACAAGATCATACTATTATGGAGGTTTATGGTTTCTAAGAGGCTATTAGAGTCATGCCCTTTAACTTAGGCATGTTAATTAAATCCTCAAATGTCGAACAAATAAGTTGTGAATATCTAAGGTGTAGTTAAAGTGACTCAAGTGTCGAGGGGTGTAAAGGGCTTTAGTGAAGGAGTCGAGCCTCAATTAAAGGGAGGCTATTCGAGGACACCATAGGCCTCAAGGGAGGCTATATAGTGTACTTTGTTCGAGGGGATCGTTGGGAAAGAGTCCCACATTGGATAATTAAGGGGATGATCGGGTTTATAAGTAAGGAATGCATTCCCATAGACACGAATGCATTTTGGAGAAACATAAAAAAACAAAACCACAAGAGCATAGCTCAAAATAGACAATATTATAGAGGTTTATGGTGCCTAACAAGAGCACGAATAGCAAAAGCTCACATACAACAATTGGTGCCAATTCCCAGAATAACATGAAATCGACCATCATTCACAGAGAGCAAGAGTACATTGACATTGCTCTCGAACTGTGATATTTTAATTACAGAGAAAAACAATAATTATTCATGACTATATCCACCGAACAGCTAAGGGCCCAACAAAAGTAGCAAGGACAACAAAAAATATTCATAGAAGGCGAAGTTGAGTTAAATTAGAGAAGCATACCACTAATAAGTAGAATATCATTGACACCCTTTGCCTTAAGATCTCCACTTTTCTCAATAAAGCCCGGCACATGCTTCGTACTGAAATCAAACAACTAATTACTTCATAAAAGTTGCACAAAGCCAAAGCCCAGATAGATCAATCAAGAACACAAACAGAAGTTGGTGTTCACAAGCTCACAGATCGGGTTATCCCGTTTTCCCTCAAATAGAATCGGACAGGGGTTTTACCTGCAAGTGGGAGTGAAGGCACCGGGTACTCCAAAGAGAACCACCTTCTTACCGGCGACGAGGGAGTGTACGGACGCTTGTTGAAGCTGATCGTTTTCATCGAAGTAGGCCACTATCCCATCCGGCAACGAATCCCCAACAGCAATCGGAGCCATTTTGCGATGATTTCTATGAATCGCGAATTAACAACTGGGGGTATGTAAGGATTAGGGACCGAGGACGGTTACTTATAATGATCGGACAAATGCAAAGGTCAGGGAAATGGGCGGACTTCAGTCGCTCTGTTTAACGCCATTTGATGGTGGATTGAATCCGCTGCATGTAGACCGTTTCATTTATTTACTTATTTTGGGCGACTCGTGGTTTTTAAATACAACAAAAATATAAATTAATTACAAAACGTCTCAGTTCAATTCAAAAAAAATATCATAACCAAGTTTCTAAATATAACCATTATATTCAAATTTTAAATAATATAAATAACAATTATAAATAAACATTATAATCAAAATTTCTAAATAACAATTATATTAGAAAAATGAATAAGCTTATAATAAAATTTAAACCAAAATGCAAAATAATTTTGTCGAATCTAACCTAAATTCACATAAAGGTCAGATTTTTTAAAAGTAACAAGCTCCCTTTTTAAAAAATGAGAGGCTTCATAGAAACAGCAACAAGTTTCCAAAAACAACATTAAACTACAAAAGTATTACCATATTTGAAAAGGTAGAGCCAAGTTTAAAAACCCATTATAGCTTTGTGGGTTAAGATTACATTAACAAATTTGATTTTTTTTTATACAATAAATAAAATTGGAGGACTAATTAATCATAAATAATCCACCTTTTAAAAATTTTAAAATCAAAATATATAGTTTTGAATGAATATTTTACAAAAATAAATAAAAGTTTTACGAGAACTAAGGTTTTATATAATTTTAAATTCAGTCTTGCATTAGAATTTTTTTTTCTTAATTTAAAAAAGCAATATTACAAGTGGAGCTGGGTAGCCAAATTGGAAAAGGTATAATGTTGCTCTAGATTTACTTCCTTAATTTATCATTCTACAACAATATATTTTTTAAGTTACTAAATCACCCTTGACGCCGTTGACTCTGACTTCGTCGCCGTTATTCGCCGGATAATTAATATTTTGGAACGGAAAGTAGTGGAGTGGCAACTTTATTTTATTTTTTATTTTTTATTTTTTAAAGAAAAGAAAATGTCATTCATTAATATTAATTTTTTAAAGATAAAATATGTTTTTTGTTTGAAAAATTTTAAAATTAGTGTTTATTTTGACATTTCAAAATAAATATTGAAGTTAATTTGATAGATTAACTTTTGGGATTATTTAAAATTATTTTTTAAATGTTATCCACTCGAAAATCTTAGAACGATCGGAGCTATATCATTCAACCCTAGTATCTTGAACATCAAGAAAAGTAAAACTAATGCACACATCAGCCGATCTATATCATTCAACCCTAGTATCTTGAACATCAAGAAAAGTAAAACTAATGCACACATCAGCCAATTATACTCGATTTAATTATTATTATTATTATTATTATTATTATTATAACGAGTTAATTTTTAATATCAACATATCATTCAACCTATTACTCCTAGTGCATTATAAGAGTTTATTTTAATTTGATTCGTCTTTCTATTTATTCCCTAATTCGCAAATTAAGTGAACTAGAAAAACAAATCAGATGAAGGAAATTTTGAGATTCATATACGATAGTAAAACTTAGGATAATGCATTGAATAATTTGGCCTAAATCTACCTTAAATTTGCAGGACAAGCTTTTGGATGCTTGAATCTTTCATCTTTGGCTCAGTTTCATTCATTCTGGAAGCAATTCTGCTTACCCATGGCTGCACCAGCAAGCTCTTTTGTCTGTAAGTATATATATTTCATTTTTGCTGTATACACTTCTATCAAGATCATACTGTTTAATATTCTTCAAGCTCATCCCCTCCTCTCTCTGTCACAGTCCCCAAGCC